CTACAACCCCCCAGTGCTGTGAGCCAATAAAGTGACACTTATCAAAAGAAGCTTTGCTACAGTTTATTAACCAGATAAGGTGTAGCCCCCCCCAGCCTGGTAACACAAATTGGTGTTTGGTATTACATTCCTGACAGATTTGGCAAACACATAAATTATTTCTGGTGTATAGGAAACAAACAACTAAATGGTAATTAGATGGAATATTTTCAATAATCCTGAGAACCTCAAGACAACAAACAAATAAAACATCAATCAGAATGATGAAGGAGCACAGAAGGCCCCTTCAGCCTTGTGTTTCCATGGACCCCCATATCCCAGGGGCGTGCTCTCAGCTCCACTGAGCTCCCTGACCTCGACCTGACCAAATCATAGAGTGAAAGAGAACTGTTAAATGTTTTCATTAGCAGCAGAAGGCAGAGAAAACATTCTACATAAAAAGTACCCTGCTTTTATTTTAATAAAATGCCATGTGTGTTCCAGTTACAAACTGAAGGAGTATATGGGTCCTAAAAACCAAAAACATTTCTCTGCAGAAACATTGAGCTGGAAACATCAGCCACATATCACAGTGAGATGCTGTATCATCCCAAAACATCCCATAACAGCAGGGTGAGGAAAAGGACGCTGAACAAACAGCGAACAACAAGAATTAATAATGGCAATAGCAGAAACTTCAAAATATTTTCTGGTAGCACAGTGCAGGTCTTCAGAAGYAGCTCTCTCCTCTAGACACTGCCATCAGCACACAGATATTCAGCCCTGAAAATCTTGTGGACAAATAACACTGTAGGAGCAGCCACAAAAGGGCAGAGCACACAGCACAAGATCTGACATGAGCCTTCAGTGCCTAAACTTCTCTCCCAAAAATCACCTCTTTCCAGAAAGGGCTTTCAGAGGAGCTTGAAAAAGAATTTGACTTCCAGGTAATCTTCGTTGGGACCCTTCTGCTACCACAGAGAAAGAGGGAAAAGGATTTTTTCTGCCTTGCAAACTATAAGAAAAAATKGATAAACCTCAGAACCTTTCTGATCCTCAGTAAAGCCAAATGTTCTGGAATTAAACTTTTTACTACTATAATCAGCTTTATCTAGGCCCAGGCTTGAGACAAAGACCTTGAACTCTTTCCATAAAATCAGTGCAATTGATTACGTCCCTCTTCAGCTTTGTGTGTACAGGATGCAAAGGCAAAAAGTGAATCATTCAGGTGAAAGTTTAGAGCTACACAGATTTGATCACAAGAGGAAACAAGTAGATAGACAGAGCTGGTCATCTCTGGGTTGCCTTCATCATTGCTTTGTTCCAACCAGCTGCTCAAGGGATCACAGGAATGTCATGACTGTCCTGTTCTTGCCGATCTGCCAGGGCTCCAGCGGGTAAAAGCGGATGACAATCCTTTTGGGTATAAAAGAGCAAAAATGTGGACAGGAAATGTTATTTTGCAATTAAATATTATTCCTGCCCAGAAAATCTGCACTAGGGTCTCACTGTTCTACACTTCAGGGAGTTAATTTAATAAAAGCAAATGTAAGTTGTGTATGGACATGGTACAAACAGGTGCCAGACTTCACCAACACAAACAGAAGCAGTCTGAATTTCAGCACTTTAAATGAGATACTTGTCCATTTTAGAAGGACTCATGTAGGCCATAATCTTGTCAGGAATTTATCCCAACAGCATCCGAGAGGCAGGGAAATGCTATTACCATTCTCCTTTGGGGAGCTGGATAAGAGGGGCAGAGAGGACCATGAATGACCTTCAGGAACAGCCTTGTTCCAGCATTTAGCAGGGTGACTCCCTGTGAAGCTCTACCTATTCCCGTAGGGTTTCGCACCAGTTTCACCATCTGGTATTACTGATCTTCAGTAATATCCAGACTGTTCAACAAGTGCACACCAGTCTATGGTTTTATTTGYCTCCAAACCACATGTCTGGGATTCAGAATCCAAGAGCACTTAGTGTTTGCAAGTCTTGGATGTACATTACAACTTAAACTCCTGGAGCACGTGAGAACTCCCTCTACCCTCAGTACTCTGAACATCCCCTTGTACTTGTTTCTCGTGTTCCATATCCATGGACCCCACAGACCTGTAGGACTGAGTGGAAAAACGCTCTCCCTGCCCTTGGAGGCCGAGCCCCCGCCGGGCCGCACTCACCGCTCTTGGCTGAGGCCCAGCTGCGCCRTCAGGACGTCGAAGAAGCGGGCGCTGTGCCGCTGGTTCTGCTCCGCCGTGCCCACCACGCCGATGGAGGAGACGACCAGCTGGGCGCAGGGCTCGGCCGAGCCCGAGAGGACCATGGACAGCCCGCTCCGCACCGTCACGTTCACCCGCTGCCGRGACAACCACCGTCAGTCCCCGCCGCTTCCAGCCACCCCGGCCCCGCGGCCTCCAGCCGCGCTGCTCTGGCCTTGCCGCCCCGGCCCCGCTCACCTCCGCCGGTTTGCCCAGGATGTCCGCGGCGGCGGCGCACAGGGTCTGGGCCAGTCCCGGCGGCAGCCGCTCGGCCGGCAGGCTGGTGTCCAACTCCACGAACGGCATSGCGCTGCTGCTCCGCTGCCCCGCACCGCCTCTGATCGGCCCCGCACGGCGCGACCCGACCCGGCTCGGCCCCTGCCCCGCCCCCGGAGCGCCCCAGGCAGCGGAGCCCCGGCGGGGCGGGCTCAGCCCCCGGCACCGCCCGCAGCAGCGCGGTGCGMGTCCTGCCCTGCCRGTGCCASTGCCCCGCGCCYCSTGCCAGCCCCARGMGSGGCTCCCGGGGTTCTCTGCTTCACCACAGCTCAACAGCTGGCTGCCGGGCCTAAGGGATTCACCATGGGTGTCGCTGGGACAGGCATTAAAGGCTGTGAGACCAAAACGGTCACATCTCGCTGACGGATGGGTAAAATGAGTTTTGTATGGCCCTTACTGCCAGTGGAAAAACATTTCAGGTCACTACAACAGACACCTCTGTACACGGAGGGTTGAGAATGGAAACCCAGTGCTTTCTTAGATCAACCACCGCTACAAGAAATTAAAAAGCAAGCAGAGAGGTTTACTGCTCTATCCAATGTGTATTAATTACAAGGACTTTAAGCAATCAGGACTTTGAACTCCCAAGTTGATAAAAGTAACCAGGGCATCTGGCTCACAGGGACAGTCAGCACAGGTGTCTAAACTAGAGATCAGAGGTTTCTCTGAAGCTGAGCTTCTGTCCAGTGAGGTTCCACGTGCTTATTTACAYTAAAGGGTTATTAGCCAGCTAGATTGAAAGGTCACCTTGTTTAAAGCACAAAACTGTTGGAAAAAATTGCCTTRTGTAATGTGACATCTTGGTTTTCTACAATTCTAGACAATGCTGATGAAAACTGATGAAATTGCCCATTTTTTTTTTTGCTTAGGGAATTGCTTGGCCTAYGCTGCTGTTAATGAAGACAATACTGGCACAAAGAGTCATGTGCAAAAACCAGCCAGGAATAAGGCTGTGAAAAGATTTCTAGGACAGAGTAGTATCTAAAACTAAAACCTTGGTGAAAAACACGACGAGAACACAACAGGTTTTATAGAACTTGCCAGCAAAAATGTCACAAGCCAAGACATGGCAGTACTGGGGGAAAAAAAACAACAAAACAGTTATTTGATTAATGAGAGAAGCAATTCCTGAATTCCATTACTCATTTTAGTCTTTCCAGGAAGAGTTTTTTGGCAAGAATTTCAGGGCAAGGTTCAAGGGCAACCACTAGTTATGAATGGAAATACACAGATATATATTACACCAGTTTTTTGCATCCTTTACAACTTTCAGCTGAAGAAATTAGAAATGRCTGGATTTGCTCAGTTTTACCTCATGAACTGTGGTGCAATACAAAAGGATTTTGTATTTGAGCTATAGCTAAGCARAAACAAACAGCCAAGACAAGGAGCCCAAAAGCTCCAAAACAACTCTTTGCCCTTTTATTGTGATGCATGTGTTGCTCAATGCCACAAGATCTCTCTTATTACTTCAGCTGCACAGCGACTTACTTGGTGAACTTCCACTCAAAACAGTCTCAGAAGAGCATGTCTGAGACAAGAGCATTTATTCCCCCTCTGCATTTTCTAGGAGAAATGTGGATTGCTGTTACAGAATAACCACAGGAAAAAAAAAAAAAAAACCAACCTAGTTTGTATGCTGTTATATCTTTTCAAGAAAACACTGTGAAAGCATTCTTTCAGGGTAYTCCCTGTATAATATCAAAATGGTATTTCAGGTAGGCAGTTACTCCAAGGCTGTGGCCACCAGCAGCACRAATCTCCAAGAACAGCCCCTGCCACACACTACTGGCAGACAGAGCACACACAGAACCCAGGCTTTGAGAAATCAAACACGGTGGCTAAACTGAAGAATTATGAAGATTCACAGTTGTAGATGAATAGAAAGAAATTTCTGAAAGGAACCTCAAGACAAATAGAATTGTGGAATGTACATAGACAGCCAAGCAAGATGCCTCAGCAATAAGAAACTTTAAAAATTTCATTTTTTCACTTTTGTGAAGTAGTTTTGTGCTCTACATGTCTTGCAGACATATGCCAGGAAGATGAGGATCAAGCACACTTTGTAGTACAAATGTTAAAATCTCATTAAAAAAATGATCCTCATCCTATTCAGTTCTCTAATGTCCCCAGTTTATAGACTGGCTCAAATTCTGTCAGGAAATACCATTCTTGTCTCTACCATATCTGAAAAAACTGACACAAATAAAATCCAGATGCATGTTAAGTGACCTGTAGGGCCTCAGYTTTTTATATAAATTTAATGTTTTMGGTCTTAAGCTTTCCTCAGCTTCCACCCCCAAAGACAGGGTAAAAACACTCTGCAGCTTCCRTTTTAGAATTACAGTGCTCTTTCCAGTTACATGTAGAACTGGATGTCAGAGAAGTTAAAAAGGGGGGAAAAAAGGCAGGAAAATGCTAAGATAGGTTACTTCATTTCAACATCTTCATCAACACAGGTGCCAGTTGCTCTTTCAGCTGTGGATCAATTTGAATATTGCTCAGTTCTTTGATATTGAGGATCATCTCATGGGCTTGGAAAAAAAGCTCTTTCCCCACAGCATCCTCCACCCGCCTGCGCCACTCCCTCAGCCTGGGTCTGTCTTCAAAGATGTCACAACCAACTCCAACAGGCTGCAGAAAGGGGAGAGAGCAACAGTGAGGCTTTGGGCAGTCACTTCTTAACCGAAAAAACAGGCACTAAAATGCACTTGCAGGTACAGCTAAWGGAAAAAAGATGAAGAGCTCATAGAGGAGCAGCAGGAAGGAGGTTGGGTGGACACAGAAATGAGCTTTTATTTTAAAGGTCATTTACAAGTCAATTCTTGGGTGCTGGAACAGCTGTTAAATACAGCATAGATGACCATGTTCTGTGAGTGATTTTCAGCCACAGCACTGCAGATGTGGTGGGCTGGCAGCTCCAGGGACAACTGTCCAGTTTGCAGTACTGAGTGCTGTATCATACAGCAACAAAAMATTAAATGTTTTAACTGTACCAGTGTCCTCACTGACATAATCTACCCCCCCTTCTACTTTCTGCCTGTGCCACTCTCTAGAACACAATGTAGAGAAGCAGAACTGCTGCTTTTCAGTCCCTTAGGACACTGAATTGGAAGAAAGAAATCCCTGCTGAGCTGTAGGATCCAGGCCCTGATGGTCTGGTAGAGAACAACCAGTTTGTAAGACTTAATTTGATTGCCTTTTTCTGAGATTAATTCTTTCATCTTCCAGACRTGGCATGGGCATGTACTGTATTCTTGAATGATAGAAATATTCCTGTATGGTTTTCTCATTTCATSAGACCTGTCTGCTATTGCTTCTCACTTACATATATTACTTCCTTCTCTAGAGATTAAAAATAAAGTCAAAAGTCATGATAAAAAATGAAGAAGAGATATTGCTAGAGAAGAGAAACAAAAGAGATCTGTTGCAGCCAGGTTTTTTGTTGTTGTTGTTTTTCACTGGTGTTTTGAACCCGCTTTCACATTCTCCCCATTGTCTTAGGCCCATTCTGCTGAGATATAGCCTCGATTTTCCTTCTAGTGAAGTGTTACCACATGCTGCACCCTCCCTGCCCAGCAGCATCTGTTTTCCCTTGTGCTGACACTTCCTTACCACACTCCAGCACTCACTTGCATCAGYTCCACAATGGCCACAAGATCTGCCAGGGAGATCTCACTCCCAATGATAAAAGCTTTGTCCTGCAGAAACCTCTCCTCAAATTGCTTCAGGGAAGYGGACAGCCCCTCCATAACCTCCTGGAGCTTCTCAGAGGGCAGTGGCTGCCCTGTGAAGAGGGGTATCAACACCTGAGGAGAAAAGGGACATAATAGAACAGATGACTATCTTCTCTAGTAGTAGCAATTTAAGTTACACCCCATGATCATCAGTGATCCTGCAATAAAGCCACAGAAGGGGATGGTAGAGCTTCATGGACTGCTGCAGGTCTGAGGAGCTCCTGGACAGAAAGCACACAAGCAGTCCTAAGCAGCTCATCTGCAATGACAGGGAACTCCAGCTAATCAGCAGCAATGTGCAGAATGAAATCAAGGATCCTCATCTCATTTTGTGCCTGGCAGCTGTGCCCTCCCAATCCACCCTGCTGGGTTACAAAAGAAAAATGGGCAACAGCTCCAGAGAAAATCAATCTCTGCCACAGTCACCACTGCTACATCCTCTGTTTCACCAGAAGCTGCTTATCAGCCACCCCTGCGAGCCACCCTGCTGTGGAACTGGGTGCTGGAGGCAGCTGCCTGTCCCTCAGGGTGATGGAGAGGAGGGAATGGTGGTGGCTGTGGTAGGAGTGTTGGAAGGACTAGAATGCATTAACRCTGGCTGGAGAGGCAGAAATGAGACAGTGCTGCCTCTGTGTGACAGCAGCCAGCAAGGCTGGAAGTGGTCAACACCATTTTTACACAAGCATTTCTGTGGCCTCTCAAGCACCATTCTTTAAACCACCAGAAATTTTTTCAGAGCAATCACATAACTGCAGTACTTGTGTCTCTACAGACTTGCTGGCACAGGGGGTAGTTGCTTTTCTGTGGTATTTTTCACCACTCAGAGGTGTGTACACCACTGAAGCCCACAGTGTTTCACAGCTRTGCTGCCTTCACCTTGCGCAGTTAGAGAAATATAGCTGGGAATCAAAATTAAAGATACAAATTTCAGTCAGTGTCAGTGGACTGAATTTCTACTTACTTCTAGTATATTCAACAATTCAAGTTGGGATTGCTTAATACAAGCCAGGATTTTGGCCAAATACATGTGGAATCTATTTCATCAGAAAATTCATGGCCAGTTCTCTTCCTAAGTGATTCCAATTAAGCATGATGGGATCTTTCTTTTCCTTATCTCAGGGCAGTCTATCTTCTCCCATTTCTAGCTARTATGCTTCTCTTATATGGTGGCTTTATATGTTTCTGTATTTATGGTKATTCTGAGTACCTTTTCTGCATCTGGGTTATCTAATCATCAGCAGCAATTAGTTGGATTTCTTTCCCTTGGAGCACTGCAGTTACAGCCTGCAGAGGCTGGAAGAAACCACTTCTTGTATGAATCTGACTCATATTTCATTTGCTTTTCTATATTCTATAGCCAAAAAATTAAATATCAATAAAGAAGATAAATGATTCCTGATATGCTTTGTTAGGCACAAACAAGGGCAAACTTTACAATGGAGGAGTGAAGTTCTTACCAGTTTACTAGCAATCCTGATTTCATCTGAAATTCCATACCACAGCTCTCCTTGCAGGGCTATATTTGTACCTGGGTCTCTCTAAAGACAGTTGCATTTAATGTCTGGTGAGTTGGCTGGAAATAGRTGTCCAGCAAAAATCATCTGCTACTAAATGATTTTCTGGCTCAGGGTGAATCAGTTAATTTTGCCTAAATGCAAACTGACCTGACTACACTGAGTAAAGAAGATCTGCCTCTCATTGTCTTGGCTCTCTTCTCTCTGTCCCTCAGCCTATTTCAGAGAAGAGTGCTGGAAGCAGAAGGTTCCTTCTGCATTTCCACCCTGATGAGGCTGCAGGGACTTGTATGAAGAATGTAAGTCTTTCTGCTTCCAGCAACAAAACACATGCTCACCAAMGCCAAACTGCCTATGTGCACACTCTGCACAGCTGTGCAGTGAGGGGGAGGCCCCTGGAAGCAATACTGTTACATATTTGCTTACAAATCCAGGCAATGGAAGTCGGTTGGGTTTGAGACCTTGTGTAACCCTTTGAGACCTTGTTGTACCCTTCTTTAAGGGAAAAACCAAAATGGCCAAAGCTGCTTTTGCCAAATCCTGATGATCAGTTTGAAACAGCCCCCTCTCTAACAGCTCTTTTCAGCTAGGAATGGCCCAGGTTTGTTGTTTCAGTGACAAACTGTCTCTGAATTTGGGCTGTTCAAATGYTCAGTAATCTCCCATCACTTTACTCACTTTTTTACATTCAGTCTCCTTACCTTGATCCACATGGTCTTAGGAGCATTAGCCCTGATGTTAGCRTGGTGCCAGGAGAGGTACTCATCTACCCGGGCCCGTTTTTGTATGTCTGAGGGGTACCAGTGGTCGGGAGTGTTGTACTTTCGACTCAGATACAGCAGAATGGCAGTGCTGCTCATGCATCAACAGGAGACAAGAAAGGGGTCAGGTATGATGATGCAAATGCCTAAGCTCCCTCTCCTGCTTCTTCTCAACTTGCTGCTTCCTCTAAAAAGCATTCAGATCAGGGATTCCAGTGGAGTCTAGGGGCCATACAAAGGCATCTAATTCAYGTTGACATCAGTGGCCCTTAATCACCTTAGCTTCCACGAAAACTTTAACCTGCTGCAAGATCACAGCACTGTTCTATGGTGCTGCTCAACAGTACTGGGGCAAACAAACAATAAATCTCCATGATCATCTATCAGTGATGGTAACTCCACCTGATCCTTGAGTGTTCTGACCCATCTCTGTGASACCTGCACTGTTTCTGTGCTTCTGTGCTGCATGAAACTCTGATGGGTTATAATGCCTTTTCATCAAGTCTGTCTCCAGCCTGCAGCTTCCTTGAAGTCAGTGGAAGTCTCAGCAAGGAAACCCTACAGAATCTTTTTGTGTTTGTCCAGATGTTTATATTTTCACTAACTGGCAGAAGTCGGATGGAAAAATATCTTAGTCATCTGCAACAATACTTAGGGTGTTAGTACAAAAAGAGATGCCACAGAAAATGTGCTGGCAAAATGGAAGAGAATTCAGACACCCCTACCATGCTGATACCACAATAGCTCAGTTGTTTCATTATTATGACACCATTAACCAGTCTCCCTATTAATCTTTTCATGTAAAGCCTAAATTTTATCTCTGTAGATGTCCACTCAGCCTTTATGACTAATTTAGATGAACAGAATTCTTTCCTAGAGTAAAAGGGATTTCTTTTCCTAGGGTGAAAGGGATTTTTATAAGCTTTAAACATTTCCCAGAAATGTTTATAATCCCATTTTGAGGTAAGTGCATTCAGGATGAGATCAAGAAGCTAAGTCAGCTGAGTTGTTTACATTCTGAAAGATAATTCAAACAGAAAATGGAAAGAGATCAGATGAGGTTATACTATTAAAAATAACCAGCATGTTCATATATTCTGTGATCCTTAATTATTCCATGGGAATGACATCTTCTGAATGCAGCACAGATTGCTGGTACCCAAAGAAGTCTAAGGACTGAGTTCTTACCATTCTGCAAGGGTGAAGTCGCCATCCTTCAGCGCTGGTACTTTCTTCAAGAGGCTGACTTTGCCAGCACCTTCAGTATTTGATGGCCCTAAGAACATGAAGAGACAAGTCTGAGGTCAGAAGTCTATCTGCCAGTGCATGATAAATTAAATACCTGCAGCCAGCTTGATGATCAGTGAACTGTGTAAGGTTTTCCCTGTATGGTCGTAGCTCACAACTGAAAGGTAATGAAATGGCAGAGTCAGYGTAAGAGCTGTCTGCAGAGGGCACTCGGCTCAGGCTGGGCACACAGTATGGAGCAGTTTATACTCCTGTAGAGGAGTTCTGTTGCTTCACTCAGGTTCCAGGGTGTTTGCAAAACTTATCGACAGAATGGACATTCGCTAGGAGCAGGAAAGCTCAGACACCTCGACCCTGCATCCTGACTCTGTGTTGCTCCTGGCTCCGCATGTCAGCCTACTTCTGACAGGAAAACGCAGGAGGAAGAYACCATCCTGTAAGAATTTAAACTCCACAGTTCTTTGGAGGCATCAACAGCTGACTATCTAATCAGGCTTTCAGTTTCCCACTGCTGGCACTGGACTTGCCAGTCAGCAGTTAAACGCCAGAGAATTGTACAACAATGCAGTAACACCCGAGTAAGAAAAGCTGTGAGGAATTTGTTTGCTTTGCCTGTTTTAAGTGCTCCTGAGAAAGAGACATGACACCTAGGGTGCAACTCGTGATAAAACCAGCCTGACCTGCAGGAGGTCTTGTACAAAAATCCCTTTGTTCAAAAAAACAAACACCAAAAAAGGATCATTAACTTACAGTGATCTCCAGTGTGTACATTACTGAACAAATAGGAAGCAGTAGGAAATAGTCTCCAGGATATAAAACCAGCCTCTGGACAAATGAATTTATTTGCAGCTGGTTTGGGAAGGGGTGAGAGAAGGCAGGTTGCTGCATTACAATTACAAACTGCTTTACTTTACCGCCTGTTCAACTTTCTAGCTAATTAGCCTCTACCTTGTTTCTTCTTTGAGAAGTGAATTTTTWWAAAAAAATCCAGTGTAAGTCGCTTCATCAGACACTAAGGTTTACATTGATCTGCTGTTTACAGGGATTCAAACCCATATCTTCCATCTCATTAGGAAAAGTCTCTGCCTACCTGCTGTGACGGTGGCCTCCAGCTTAGCTGGGTAAGAGATTCCACCTGCACAGCAGAACCAGGCAACATTGTCAGAAGAGGCAGGAAGACAGGGCTTCTTAAGAATAAAAGCCTGATATAAAGTACAAGTTAAGCCAAATAATTGAGAAAAATGAGTATAAAAATAAAAATGCCCAAAAATCAAGCCAGCCAGCAAAGTATGGTATGTCACACCCATGATTTGTATCACAGAAACAGCGAGGCAAATGTTTGTAAATCTACTATCATGGCATGGAGTTGCTCAGGGAAGGTGCTTGGTTCTCTGCTTTTAGCAGGGTTCCAAAGGCGGGTGGTCATCACATACCCAGCTCTGCTAAGACCTGTAGTGTTCAGGTGATCCTTGGAAAAATGCAGCAGAAAGTTGCCAGTCAGTAATAACTGACAGTCCCTTGTCAGACCCAGCTATTTGGTTGTCCTGCTGTCTGTGCTTATTATCCAGGGCAGCAGGAAACTAAGAAACAAGCATATAAGAAGTAAGCAGGGGTTGAGGACAGCCTGAATCAGATTTCAGATAGGTTTCATTATACAGCAATCCTAGCAGGAATACTCAGCRTATTTGTTCCCTGAGGGAACTAACATGCCATTACAGCAGGTTGGACAGTAGGTCAGTGTCTGTTACACAGCCTGCACCACAACCCAGGGATGGCATCATTTACTTTGCTTTGTACARGGTCTTTGCATGCAGACATAAAAAGATCTGTGCTGAGACTCTGCAATTCAGCTGTGAACTAGTAAATGCCTTGGTGTGAACACTAATTCCAGGCTGCTTCACTGGGACCCATTGCTTATTGTATGAAAATAGAGACCAATATTTGTATYTGCAGTTCAGCAGAGTTTAGGCTTGTTCCTCTCTTCCAGCCAGCAGAGCCAGCCTCTTTTTTTAGTGGCATTAGGTAGCCCATCTTTATAATTTCTGTGATGTTGGCTTGACTTATGGTTCAGTTTAACATCAGCTGTATCTGGTGTAGTTAGTTCTTGATGGACCCCCAAGGATGGAGATAGATAGATAGATAGATAGATAGATAGATAGATAGATAGATAGATAGATAGATAGATAGATAGATAGATCTATCCATATGCACACAGTGTTGTTGGGCTTTGAGGTGTAACTTCAACAAGCAGAGTATACACAGCAAAAAAGCAAGAAGACTGCAGACATGAGGAAATCTTAAGCATAAGTCACAGTGCAGGGAAGGAGGGTATTGGTGGGTGAAAAGAGCAGTGGAAAAGAAATTTTCTTTTTTTCTTTCCATAAAATCTATTTTATGGAAATAGAAGGGGAAAAATCCCAGTCTATTTGCTAATCACATACCTGCCTAATCACCGCCTGAGCCACGGGTTGCTAAGAAATACGCTTTGCCTTAGGCACAAAAGTAACRCTTTACTAGAACAGGGCAATAGTCATACAATGAGATGAGCCTGAACAGCTGAGTGTTTCTGCAAAGTACAGCATTTCCAGAGCACTTTTCGGCTGTCACTGTGACTAATTTGCTAGCAATGGCTAGAGGAACATTCCTTGCAGAGCCACAAAAATAGATGCAGCAGAGCTGCGAGACTGGTCTGGGAACAGGAGCCGCACGGTCAAACCACTGCGTTCAACGCCCCTGGGCAGCACAGGGATTCAGCATCACTCGGGTGACCCTGGCAGCTCGTCCTTCCCTCCCACCGGGCTCAAGGACGCGCTGCTGCTCCTGTGCCAGGAGGCGAAGGGGTTCCCACGGGGGCCGTGAGAGCAAACYCCCGCCGTGTCCAGAGCCGCAGCGGCGGGCTCAGCTCGCCCCCCGCCCGGGGATCGCGTTACAGGGCCCGCTCCGGTCCCTCCCCGCCGCCCGGGATCAGGCTCGGCCGGGCAGGGCCGGTGCCCACCACGGACCCTCCCGTCCCCCGCCCTGCCCTCACCTGCGCGGGGCTGCTCCGCGCCGCTCCCCGCCGCCGGCTTCTTCCCCAGCACCGAGTCTGCCAAGAGCCAAGAGAGGGGCTGAGCCCGCGCCCCGCCGGGCTGCGCCCACCCCGGCCCCGCCCGTCCCACCTTTGAACAGCTCCACGTGCTTGAACTCGAACGGGATGTTGTTGCTCCGGGCGAAGATGTAGATGGAGCGGCATGGCTGCGAGAGCAGGTCCAGGTACAGCTCCAGCCCCATCCCGACCCGGCCCGCCCTGAGGGGAACTGCCGCGGCTCTGCCGCCGAGCGCCCGGGGCCGCCCTGCATGGGCCGGCGGGGGCCGAGCCGCGCCGGGCGGGAGGTGCCCTCCGTCCCTCCCTTCTCCCCTCCGTCCCTCCCTTCTCCCCTCCGTCCCTCCCTTCTCCCCTCCTCCCCGGCCCGCGCCGGGCGGGGGGCGGCAGCGGCGGCTGTGCGGGCCGGGCAGCGGATCTGCGCCTGGGGGGACCGGGGGACGCCAATCTCCTGGACAGTGCCCAGCAGAGCCCCCCGGGCGGGGTAGAGGCGGGGAGGCAGGGTGGAATTGGGGCAGGGGTTACAGAATTCCCCTTCCCACAGCGTCAGGCGGCCCTGGCCCTCTGGGGCCGGCACTATGGCTATTCATTTTCCTTCAGGAAGGGAAGGTAACGTGAGTAGTGATAAACTGCGAGTAACTGGCTATTGCCAGCCTCCAAAGAGAAGACAGACTGTCCCTAAGCAGTCAGATAGAGGGGCTGTCACTCTCTTCCACAGCCTTGGCTGGCACTGAAGGTGCTTGGGAGCCACTCTCACCCACAGCATCCCACTGCGACTGTCACAAGGTAAATCTGAGTTTTGTAACACAGTTCTGTGGGGTTGTGCCATGCTGCAGACAGGGCCTTTGCATGATGTTCTCTAAGCCAATGTTAATCACAAACTGCCAGATCTCAGTATGGTTTTTCTATTCAGAATGTAATTCTTTGGTCACACAGTCTCTGCTGAGTGCTGCAGGGTGACATCTGAATGGCAGTGAAGTGTGGAGGACTTCTCTGTGGGCATTCTGTCTGCATACTCACTTGAAGTGACTTTCCTCTCTCTCTGCTATTTGTCACTTCAGGTTTTCATGCACGTGGAGGAGAACTAAAGAAGCTTAGATTCAATTCAAGCCCTCGCACTGAGCCCACAGCATTTCACACCTGTGTGATTCGGAAAGGTGACATTCTGGCTGAGTACAGGGACTTGTGGAACAGATAGAGCAGCTGAACCACTCGGGGCAAAGTCACCCCCAATCAAACCCACCTCAGCTGTGCTGACACCTTGCTATCAATGCTGTGCCAGAGAGCTTGTATGCCACACGTAGATCTTTGGAAAGAACCATGGGAATCTCAGGGAGAGGGAACTAGAGGATCAGTTGCTCTTTTTCTTGTGTGAAAAGGGTGGTGAAAGGCTTGGGTACTGAGCTGGGAGTTTGTGAACTAGGTAAATTGCAAACTGGAACACTTCCAGGGGTTTAGAACTTTCAGATTTAGAACAGCACTGTAAGAACTTTTCAGTTTCTCAGCAGAACAGGGAGAGGGGCAGTACACAGCGTTCACTTCCCCTGCAGCAGAGCTCACCCTCTAGAGCACCTGCACCCAGCAGCAATATGCTGGAGATCAAGGCTCATAGAGTATCGTGGCATGTGCTGGAATTCAAACTCCTTCAGTGCAAAGGAATCTTAAATGTTAAGGGAGGGGGAAAAGGAGCATTGAAGTGGTTCTGCAGGTCATAGTCAGAGAAGTCTTTGTGCTTCAAAGTGCTTCCATGTCCCTACTCTGAGATATTGTTGAGAAGAGTGTTGATCTCAGCAGTGTGCAGCAACGTTAGCAGTGTGGGTTCACTTTTCTCCTTTATTTATRGTTCAGTTGATCCACAAGTCCTATCTGAACTTCAAAGATCTTTTCATGTGCCTCCTGGTAATGTTCCTTCCTTCAGTTTTTCTCCAATTTGCTGACTGCACTGCTCAGCSCACATTACCACAGAGGTATTTTCATCTGGTTGTGTTATAGGCCATTTGATTTATTATTCCTGGCTCRTGTGCTAGTGCTTCTAGCATTGTATTTTCATTTGACTCCCTCAACTCAAAGACAATTTTTCCCATTTTTCTGCCTTTATTTTCTCTGTCAGCATTTTGGAAACAGGAACAAGACAGAAAAAATGTATTAAGTTTTGTCATCTATTTCTTAATCATTTAGAAAAWGTCTCAGGATGTTTTTCTGTTTTTAAAACATTCCTCCTATTTTGTGTGTTCCAGCTTCATTTCATTCCAGAAATCACAGTTTCTCACTTATTTCCCAATAGCCCTGGCAAGAATKGAGGAAATTGAATTGAACATGTTCGATTAAACTGACACATTAAGCTGACAGTGGAGGTGTAACCCCTCTCCCTTTCCAGGGTGAAAGGGGAGTGGAGACTCAACAGACCTTGTACCAAAGCAAGCAAAACTCTTGCACAACCTGTTGGGTTTTGGCAGACTGCTCCCAGGGCTTTCAGTCTAAGAACTGGAAACACACAAGATCCAGTAACACAAAGCAATGAAATGTGGAGGAGGAGGGATAGCAAAAGGCAAAGTACAAGGATGAGCAGCTTTATCTCCACAATCAAGAGGAAAAAAAACAAGGTAGATTTATCTGTTTTTTAACTCTGTGGCCATCCAAGGAGTTACTTTAGGGACATACTTTGTCCTGTGAGCATAGAAAATCCCAAAATGMCACTGGTCATTGAATACACACCAGGTAGAGATTATGAGAAAAACAATTTAAAATCTCTTTGTCTCAGCATAATCCAAGTGAAGTGAGGCCAGTGTGTTTATCCTTTATGAAGCAGAGGTGGAGGAGCACCAGACAGCCAGCTCTGAACACAGCTGCAGCTTGGTTTTGAAGGCAGCTGTCCTCACAGGAGTGCACAATGGGTRACATTTAAGGAACTTGTGCCTTATTCCAACAAGCAGAAAATTGGCTCAAGACTCTTTTGTGGAACTCTTGAGGTACAAATATCATAAATAAAAAAGTTTTTAAAAAGACACTTTATTTTGCCTTGGCTTGTGCAATAGTTTGCATGCAGAGCAGACCTATCTGGAGATTCTGCAGGGAGATGTGTGTCACAAAAGGCTCTGCTCCCAAGYCYGTTTTGAGGTCTATCAAGATTAGCACCCTGCAAAATAGGCTTTTGGTTTTGATTATTYCTCTGCTTTGTGTATACTTCAACAGAATGTGTRGAAAACATTTATGGWGCTGGTAGAAATYTKCTCTCTACAAGAAAGGGAAAAGTCRAAAGCCAAGGGAAAGTACAAAAGGTGCCAACAGCAGAGTGCGTGAGGCTGGGCAGCCATGGTACGGCAGCAAAGGCACCTCTTTAACTGCAGGGGTGCAGAGCAGCCCAGCTGGTGGCTGTGGTAAAGGAAGTGGTTATGGTACAACATAAACAGCTCTTGAGGCTCAGCACTGCTGGCAACTGCAGCAGGGCAGCATCATCAGGGATTGCTGCTCAGGCASCAGCCATGCAAGCACTCTTAGGGACGGAAGAGAGCTGCTGTCGTTGACTTTACTCACTGGCCCTTCTCAACAAATTTACCAATAAAACAATCAGGGAAGAAGACAAATATCCCTGCATGCGTCAGCACTGAAGTTGAGAGAGTTTGAGCRCAAATGTCCCTCTTCACCACTGACACTTAGGATTTCCTGTAGGTTGGAAGGATGGAAAGTAAAGGGACCAGCCTGCTTGGYTCAGCCCACAGGCATGTGCATTGCAAACTGTGGTTCATGAGGCCTTTTGAACTAAAGGGCAGGTTTACACAGAAAACAAACAGAAAAGCCAGCTGGCTCGTTCCCCAAAAACAGTAGATCCAACTGAAAGAATGTGTGAGACTTTGAGCAGCTACATTCACCCTTTCTGGGCACTGTAATAACTTGACTTGCATTCAGATGACTGACATCTCACAGCCAGCATACTGTGCAGCCTTCCCTGTGGATGGGGTAATCAGAAGCAGAGACAGATTTCCAGGTACAGCTTAACTAGGAGGGGAGAAAAACAATTCTGCAAACTGGAACCCTCCTCATGGAGGCCTGGAAATAGGGGCCACAGGGACAGGAGAACAGGAAGGCACAAGTGGCACAAAAGGACACGGGCAAGAAGTTGTGAAGGGTGCTGCCCAGGTGTGGAGGATGACTCCATGTCCATTTCCTTCCAAATCCTGATTACAAATCCAAACAGAGCTACACACCTGGCACACGTAACCATTAGCGTTACTGGAGGATCTGCTGGGACTGAAGAGCACTGGAGCATTAACCATGTTTGGGACATTCCTCAGCTCATGTGCTCACCTGGGGCTGGCCAGCACAGCTCCCTCTGCTACCAGTGCTGGCCCAGCCACTGCAGCACTCATTCCTGACAGCCTGGCTGAAATGGTTTCTGTTCAGCTGACAAACCACTGGGGGAAAGGGACAGAGCACTGATGTGGTTTGCAGAGGGGACCGTGTGGTTGGCAGCTGCTTGACCAAGAAAAGCRGCTTTTTTCCACTGCGCAGGGTGTTCTTTGTAGAGTGTAGCATGARTCTCTGATTAAAGAGCTTTATGGACCCTGTCCTTCCCAGAAGCTGGAGGTGTCCCTTGGGTGCCAGCACCGCTCCTTGCTCCTGGGCACTGTGTTTTGCTCTCACAGGTGATGCAGCAGCATCTAGTGGCCAGGAGTCCCAAGAACCCTGGCAGAGTTCCCACCGGGGGTTGGGTCCTGACATGTCTCTTTCCCAAGGAACAAAAATCTTCCAGCAGACTGTTTTCACTTTGCAAAGTGCAAACCATCTGCTACAATGATTTTTCCTTGTTTCAGACACACCTGTTCTGCCATACCCTCAGGAAACCTCTGCTCTGGCCTGGAAAACTCAGAACAGAGATGGAGAGGGCAGTTCTTACTGGCCCCCATTCCCACACAGACTGAATCACCTCCACCCTGAAACGGATCCAGTGGAGCGTGAAAGAAAAGCCTACCAGGCTGCAGCTCCCATGCTGCAGTGGACAAGAGGGAAAAGCAACTCAAGGCAGTTTAAGATGTATTTTTCTTCCCTTCTAGGTAGCAGAAGGGCTGTGAGTTAAGGGAAATGCATTTTTTGGAATGGTGTTTCTGTTGATTTTTAGAGGAGATACTGAAACACTACAATAAGCCTTCAGAAAAAAAAATCCATTTTATTAGAGCATAATCCTCTAATTCTGGCTGACCTGCTTTAGGAGCTGCTGCTTGAAATTCTCCATCAGCTCAGGTGCAAACTGATCAGCAGTCAAGTTCTTAATGTTCATGATCTCTTCGTGGGCTTCCTGGAAGATCTGCTTCCCCACAGCTTCTTCCACCCGCCTGCGCCACTCCGTTAACTTTGGCCTCTCCTCAAACAGGTCGTAGCCAGCACACACAGGCTGCAGAGACAGAGAGAGCACTGGGACTGAGGCAAACAAGGCATTTAGCAGGGATGGAACCAAATGAAAGATGGGAGTGCTCCTGGCTCAAGGCAGCAGTCAGTCATCACTTTGGGTGGAGCTCATCTCTGGCCCTTAGGTCATAGGAAGCAAGTGGTGACACCCTCAGCAGCTGCTGTCCCTTGGGACATGCAGCAAAGAGCTCTGCCTTGGCCAACCCAAGAACGGTCTAACACGGAACATGGGAGTCCATGCACACCAAAACAGCTCTTCTAAATATCTACTGTCCTGCCCAGTCTGCAATTTATCTTTCTTTCCTGATAAATTCTGCCTATATTTCTATAGAAAGAACTGATTCATCAGTGTTCCCCAGCAAAYTTAATTGTGGTCAAAGTCAAAAAGGAACAGACTTAACCCCAAAGAAGATCTGCCATTACAGGGCTGGGGGTGCAGCAGCCACAGCCCAACTCACACTTAGGATTTCCTGTAGCAGTGCTGGGGTGGATACTCACCTGCATGAGCTCCACCACTGCTACAATGTCTGCCAGGGAGATCTCGCTGCCTGCGATGAAGGGCTTGTCCTGCAAGAACTTTTCCTCAAATTGCTTCAGGGCAACATTCAGCTCCTCAGTAGCAAACTCCAGTTTCTCTGGAGGAAGTGGCTGGCCTGTGAGGAGAGGCAGCAGCACCTGGCAGGGAGAAGAAACAAGTTGCTTTTTATGTGTTTCCTTCCAAATCTAATCATCACCCTCTCACTATCCTCACTTCTGAGGATCCCTCACCAGCCATACACGAGAACAATTAGAACTGCTCATCAGCCTTGCCAGGTTAAGATTAATGTCAGTCATTGCTTCCTGCCTCTCCTTGTCTCCTGCCTAGAAATCTGAAAATTCAACCACAAGAGTCTCCTCTCAAGGGAAGACTGTATCATCTGCCACAGCTATGTTTTGTTTTCCAGAGGGAGGTTGTTTATTTCCATGAAGCCAGGCAGGCAGCAATGAGCTGTGTCTGGTGAGAGCTGTTCACCCAAGATGTATTTCCTCTGGACCATTGGCTGCAGCATGAAGGATCCAGGCCACTTCAGTTAGGCTCAGTTCAGCAATCAAGTCAGTTTTGTTTCTGTCACCTGGCTTGTACATTTGCTTAGAAAAGCCCTGCACATGGGCAGGCCATTTTCACTCMGTTTTTAGCACTTTATTTTTGATGTATATAATGGTTTTACCTTGCTTAGGAACARCTTGCTCCCCTTTGCACGGATGTTGGCATGCTGCCAGGACAGGTACTCATCAACCCTAGCCCTTTTTTGCAGGTCAGATGGATACCAGTGATCAGGAGTCTTGAATTTGTTGACCATGTACAGGAGGATTGCAATGCTGCCCAGAGAACAAGACAGTGAGCCGATCATCCGAGATTAAAGCACCTCATCCTTTCTTTTCCCCCCAAATTTTGCACTGCTGTACAAGCAGCAACTCAAACCTGATCCAAGTCAGGTAGAAGTGCAGCAAGGCACAGCACAGGAGAGAGTTTGTGCTGGCTCAGCCGGCTGCTTGTGGACAGCAATTAYCTGACATTAGATAATTGCCCAGTGAGACAGGCGTGGTCTGCTGGTACAGTTATCCCATCARTATTTTTGAGCAAAGAGAAGCTGCRGAATGAGTTCATTCCAAATCTGAGCTTCACGTTGCCTGGCCATCCAGCAGCAGGTACTTTAGGTCAGATTTCCTGCACTGACCTACAGCCTCCAGCAGCAGGCAGAGCAGGAGGACACATGGACWGGGATTTAAGCTCAGAAACACTGTTTATAGGCAAAGTAGCTCCAAGCAGCAGCTTTATTTACTATTAATGCTGTTCAAGTTGCTTACATAAGACAGCTTCTCTTGAAACACAAGTTTGTTATGTACAAGTGGAACACAGGATACGAAGGAGTCAGAAAACTGCCTGGGATGGAGTCCCCTGGCAGAATCCAAGCACTGGAAWAAACAATACTGAAGTAGGGGATTGAGTTATTAGAGCCTCACCTCTCTGCTAAGGTRAAAGAACCATCCTTTAGTGCAGGCACTTTCATCAGGACATTCACCTTCCGGAACTCCTCTGTCTTGTGCTGCCCTGAGGAGGGAAATGAGAAATTTAACTTGGCAGGGATCCTCAGGACCTGTCTATAAACACCCAAGGATTTGTGGGGACCATCTACCCTCAAGTTCTTGGTTTTAATTGTACAAATACAGACTTGGATCAAATTTATAAGCAAAGARTAAGTGCTGCAGGGTGAGTAGGGGGTTGCCCTGTGGTATCAGTTTGCTTGCTTATTGCCTGCATACCAGACCCACCTCTGGACCAAGGGCAGGATGTTTAGGAGTCCTTTCATACCTCAGCGCTTGTTAACTTGGGGCTCTATCCACTCCAAATTTGTGCCTGGAGATACCTGTCCTGCACAAACCCAGAGGTGAGCACAGAGCATCTTAGAGGAAAGGGATCTCACTATCAGAAACATGAATGACAAGGACAGTGAGAAAGCAGATAATTTCTTTTCCTGGAAGATAACATAATTTATATCCAACTCTCTTTTTAAAGTCCACAGATGGAAATAATTTTCTGTAATTCCATGTAAAGCCATGAGTACTTCATTATAGATCTTTCAATTAGCTCCTGTGCATTCTGCATATCCTTTGTCCRAGCAAGTATGGATTTGAGGTTGCTTTTAAGCTATCTTGTAGGTCCTCCCTGAAAGGCAGGCAGAGTGAACCTGACAGGAGAAGGTTCTTTGTTCATCTGGGGTCTCAATGTACTCCACCATGTCTGAAGCCAGTCCCAGAAGCCTTGCTTTATGTGATTTATTTGTGACAGCCTTTTCCAGCCATTCACTTCAGTCACATGTGGCTGCCTGTTTATTCAAACCTCTCTAATGTGTAACTAACCTTGTGCCACGTCCTGCTACGTTAGTCATCTGAGAATCTGTGTGCCAGAGGAGATGCTCTGGAAGCAAATTTAGCTTTTCTGGTACTTGGCAAATGTGATTTGTGACTACTCCCCTGTCACTTGGCTCACAGCCCATCTACCCTACCCCTTTCAAAAAGATGAAGTGTGCACATTCCAGCTCCTCAGATGTCCTTTGGATGTCATGTGATTCCTGTCCATTCTCAATCTTTCTACCCYTTTCATTGACACCTCCCCTAGTGGGAGCCCAAGAGCTTTTCTGGGGCATCATATTTAACTCACCAGCTCAATTCTGAGTATCAGCTTCCTCACCTTGTCCTTCTAAGCTGTGCAGGGACAGGCACCAGTGCCATGAGGCCTGCACTGTGGTACCCAGAGCAGGTACCTGGAGCACTTCCCCATGGCATGGGAGCTGAACACGCTGCAGGAATGGGATGGATACACCCAAATCACCMACCTTAAATTCCCTGGCCAAAAGCAGGCACTGTTGCCAAGGGGCACAGAGAAGTAGGAAGCTGTGATGTAATTAACTTTCCTTCCTCTCACTTCCCCTATACCTGTATTTCAGTTGTTCTCYTCTCCTTTGTTCCAGTGTCTAACCACAACACTTATATGATTGGGAAAGAAGGGGAAGGACACAAGATGAGCCAACTCCCACCTACAGAAATTGCAAAAASTTTTGCTATGAGAGTGGAGGAAAGSCWCAGTAAGATACAACCAACACACAGCTAAGGTGTGCTGGGGAACACCCAGAGACTCAACCACAACACATCTGATGTTTGTCACAAGTTGGAGCCCCTTTTGTTCCTTTATCAATTTTAGCCCCAGGAGCGTTCTCATCTTTCATTGTTTTTAAGCATWACTTACTGAGGCCTTTTTATGCCCAATACATTATCTTAATTTCAAATCCAGCAGATCTCTGGAAAAATTGAAGGATAGCTTTTACCAGYTTCAGTTACAAAGAAAGAAGATACAGATCTTTGGGCATCCTTTGGTGAAAGTACACAATACCCCTTGGATAGGCTCCTATCAGATATCAGTTGGTTTTTACTCAACTAAACCACCTCCGTTCATTTCTGTGTTCAGATCGCTGGCAGCTGCACTGTCTCGCTCCACAGCCTCCACAAGACTGGTCCTCAACCCTCAAAATAACCTGACCACAAACCGCTCTACCCAATGGAGGGGCAGAGGGGCAGCCCTACCCTGCCCTGCCCTACCTGCACACGGGGACAGCTCAGCAAGCTCATGCATGAGGAGCTTCCCAAGGGGTGTTAACCCCTGCCAAGAGAAGGAGAGCTGCTCTGCAGCAACCGCTGCTGCTTACCAGAGCACAAAGTTGAATGAGCAAACAAGAACCGCACATCTCAGCTGTCCTTGCCCATACCTGAACATCCCATCTATGCAGCTTTTTGTTTCCCATCTAAATGGGGAATGGCCTCAGACCTGGCACATCCTGAGCRCTTCTTAGAAAAGCCTCTCTTTTTTCAGAGACCCATTTTCTGCTGGGGTGGGGCTGATTTCAAAGATATCACATGCCTTTGCAGAGTCCTGTTTGCTGCAGGGCAGCACAAACACTCAAATCAGTACTTTAAAAACGATTGTATTAGAGAATTGTTTTTGTGCAGGCACAAAAACATCTTGGATTCCTCTGCAGCGGGAGGAGAACCGCACCCTCTCACAGCATCTCGCACTGCTGGGGACGGTGAGTAACCCACTTACTTCCACCCGACGGCTGGAATGGAGCATCTCCCACGGGAGAGGCGAAGGGCCCCGGGGTGCCGGCGTGGTGAGCACCCGCTAAGGCAGGGGCTGGGGCCGCCCGGGGCACAGGGATCCCCCCGCCGCCCTCCGGCCCCGCTCACCCTTGCGCAGCTCCACCCGCTTGAACTCGAACGGGATGTTGTTGCTCCGGGCGAAGATGTAGAGCGCCCGGCAGGGYTGCGAGAGCAGGTCCAGGTACAGCTCCAGCCCCATCGTGTCGCTGCCGCTGCTGCTGGCTCCTGGTGCCGTCCTGTCCCCTCTTGTCCCGCCAATAGCGGTCCCGCCCGGCCGGGGCGGAGCGRCAGCTCCGAGCCCTCCCCTCGCCCGGGGAGCGGGGCCGCGCCTCCAGACTCGCAGGACTAGGGTGATGGCACTTTTCGGGACAAAGTTTCAGCTGGGCTCTGCCACCTCACATCTGATCTCTGGCTTGTCCCAATAACTGCCCTTAATCCTTGATGATAAAGAAGCCCCAGCCCGGCTGAGCAGACGTGCGTGCAAAACAGGCAGATCCTGGTTTTGCCCGTGGGAGCTCACAGCTCTTGCACAAGAGGACTTTCCATTCCTGTGACTCCAGCCCAGACACCCCTGCTATGGAAAAACAACTGGAAGGCAAGTTGTCACAGTAGGAAAACACTGCTTCACTACTATGAAACAACCGTGCTCCTATCTTCACAAGATTCAACCACCTTTCCCAAAAACCATGTCTTGAAGATTCCCAGCTTTCAATAGTGCATTGGTAATGCTTTGTAAAACAATAAACCAGAGCTGGAGCCATTCCTGCTGAAGGAAAAGCAACCTTGGAGAGTAGCTGCAGGCTGCAGCTCCGTGGCAGCTCTGAGCCCTCTGCCAGGGCAGCTAAAAATACCATGGYGTGTGTGACTTGAAGTGACACTAGCTGGCTCCAGGACATTCATATTTGACATCAGCCATTTCAGTCTGCATTAACACCAACCTAACACTTAATAATGCCTGCTGTTACCTCTGGTACAGAACACTGGAGGGAAACAACAYAGGCAAGAGAAGGACAAGGCATAACACTGTACCACTGAAAAATCCCTTTAACAGTATCTCCATCCCTAATCATAAAATAGCCCACGTTGGAAGGAACCCACAAGGATCATCAAGTCCAATTCCTGAGCCCAGGAATCTTTATTAGACAGTTTAAAATATATATATAATATTTATTTAAAAGYTGGAGTCACTGCAGCCTAGGGCAGCTCTTCAATCTCACTTCTGCTGCAGGCACTGCACAGGTGTTGATGCATYTGCAGACAGAACCATTGTCCCAGTGCAGAAGTGAGGGCCCAGCCCTCACCGTTGGAGGACAGCAGTTCCATCAGGCCATGCTCAAAGTGCCAGTTCTACATATGCCAGCAGCACATGATGCAAAGTCCTCTTCAAGACAACCTGTATCTCAAAATTCATCTTTTTTTTTTTAAACCAGGAACTGAACTCTGTTCACAGTGTCCTTGAAAGAGGAACAAGACCTGTAATAGCTGACTTCAGACATGATAAGGAGCCAACCATTCAGGGACCATRYCTCAGYGTTGCTGTSCTGGGTGACAGTCCATGTCCTGTCSCACTCAGCAGCATCAGTGCCACATCAGCCATCTCAGCTTCCATCACTCAGGCTCGTTTCTGTGCTCGCTCGTTCTGTTCAAAATTAAAGTTGAAAAGGTGATTGAAAATGCCCCTGTGTCAGAGACACACAGAAGGGACTTTGGGGAAAAATAGGACAAKTTAATAATCCTTTCTGCCCCAGTTCTCAAACATTCCTAGTCTATAACTCAAATCATCATTTTTCAAGGATAGGTATTTATGAGGGGTTCTCAAATTAGAGAGCAGAACACTTGCCCAAATCATGCAGCACAGAGTCTATTAACCTTAGTCCAGGTTAATGGCCTGGCAAATGCTACCCAGCTTATGTCTAAAAGCTCTCAAATTCCCACTGGTGTACAAAACACGGCCTGCAGATAATTCTTTCCAGGCTTGGGATACTCWACTTCTAGTCAGCATAGACTGCAATAGTACAATACAGTCTTAAAGTCTGTAATGACAAAAGGTTTAATCTCTGCAWTTTGCTTGCAGTCCTGTGGGTAGCTGTCAAAATCCCAGCTACAGAGGTAAAGAGAAGAGCAGAATAGAAAAAAAAAAAACACCAAAAATCGGAATTGTTGTGGTTGAAAGAGACCTTTAAGACCATTGAGTCCAACCATTTACCTGGCCCTACCAAACCTATCAGTAAACCACGCCCTCAACTGCCACATCTACATGTCTTTTAAATGACTCCAGGCATGCTGCCTAACTTTAACAGAAAACCTCCTTCTTCCCATTCCACCCTTTCTAAGTATTTCATAATGATGCACCCACAAATACTGCCCTCACACTGAAATGGTGTTGTCTCAGACAAAGGAAAGGATCCTGGACACTAATACGTGTGCTAAGCATGATTTGCAATAAACTGTGCAAGTTAATAGTTTGKTTTTTAATTTTCTTCCCCATTTTAATTACCTTGACTGTCTTCTCCAGCTTACACAGAGCTCCCTCATATTGCTGCAGCAATGGCTTCAATGAGTTTCCCTTCACTGGGTGTTTCTTTATATCACGGATGCCAGCATCCCTCAACATCCGCAGAAACCGCCGCTCCTGCGCAACCARACAGACAGAGGTGAAACATCCCATTGCCTATCAGCTAGAAAATGAGCACATTTTGAAACATGCTGCTCAATCAGGAAATAATTGAACCTTCCAAGCACAAAGCTCAGCTGACYGGAAAGGGTTGGAAGTAGTATGAACTTTACGTTCCTTATGCCCCTGTGTGCATCCTTACCCAATGAATCCCATGGCAAAGACGTTACCTGAATTCTAAGGACCAAGCTGAAAGCAACACCTGTTTTCCCTGCACGAGCTGTCCTTCCAACCCTGAAAACACAGAAAGTAGCTTCAAGTCAGTTTAGCCCTAGAGCCATTGCTATCATCAATTCCAAGATTCCAATGCTGAAGTGATCCAGATTTAAGAAAGTCTGATTCCAAGCAATGCTCTGGGGTTAATTTTTGTTAGAAAGCTGTATATTAAACTAAAAAGAAAAGCTAAAAACCCTTCTAAGTGCATGTAACCTTTGCTAAATATTTCAAAGCAAAACAAGCTCAGACATCTTCTGTTTGTTTGTTTCTTACCGGTGAATGTACGTTCTGATGAACTGTGGTGCATCATAGTTTATCACATAATTCACTCCTTTAACATCAATCCCTCGGGCTGTGGCATCAGTGCTAATTAACCTGGTTGTAAATGTATGCACAGTCATTTTCAGGTAACATCTCAGACACTACAGACACAAGTGAAACACAAGTGAACATAGCACAATTCTGTTCAAACTGGACAGTCAGCCTCTGTCTCTAAGCCTGGCAGCAGCACTGCAAGTCGCTCATTATTGCCACTGGCATTTTTAATTATCCATAGACCTCCAAACATCACTACAGGCCTGTCATCCTCTGCTGAGCGGGGAGTTACTGGGTGCTTCCAGGTTCTCCAAGCATGCCAGACAGCTCCCAGCACACTGGAGGTTACTAACCTCCAAGGTATCTGAACATTCCATGAAAGCCTGGAACACAGATAGTGGGGTGAGAAATTCTAATAGTCAAGGAGGAATTTATACAACAGGTTTGGATAAAAAGAACACCCAGAAAATAAGTATTTACCTTCTCCTCAGAGACATTCCACAGCTACAATCTCATATAGCTATCAAAACTATAATGCAAATCAAACACATGGATAGAAGTAGACCTATATGCCAGTCTGAGCAGGGACTGCTGTGGTAGAAAGCTCTGACTYTACATATAGCTTTAGCACCAACATCCATTTCCTCCCTACAAGAACCAGATGCCCAGCACAAACACTGAAGTCCGTATTTGCAAACCTCAGTGTTTTGGGCAACTCTGTGAACAAGCATTTACATTTATTGTTTGTTATAAAACAACACACAGACATTCAGGTTGCAGCTAGATTAGAATAGGCTGAGTTACATGCAGGGTAAACAATTCAAAGTCACAAGTCCAAGTCTCACACCTATTCTGCAATAGAATCCTGCATGCTTTGTTTTAGGAGACCCCATGTAACTGTGTCCCTCAGTTCTGTTTATCATTTTATGCTGGTCACAGCCTAAGCTGGAAAACATACAGGAAACTCATTTAAGATGCTCACAGTTGTATTTTTCCTTGGTCAAACTCCTTCATGGTCCTCTGCCTCTCATTTGGAGCTAACCGAGAAGAGAACTCGGCCACCGTGACTCCACCAAAAGCTTGAACCAGCAGGAACAACCTGCAGGTAAAAAGGAGAGAAAAGTCACCTCCTTACCTCTGTAACAACACCTGGCAGATACTGATACAGTGATCTCAGTAATGTTTACCTGTGAGAGGCTTCCCTGGAGTTGGTAAAACACAACACGCGGGTGAATTTCATTTTCAGCATGAAATACAAGAGGAGCAAAGGCTTGGAATTCAGGTCACAAGGCACATAACATTGCTGCAGTCAACAGGGAAGGAGTTCAGAGAGAAAAATTATTTCTTGCCAAGACTATCTTCCCCAAAACTCACTACAGGTCCATGACCCACACAGGCTTGGATGTTTTACAGCTGACTAAAAGCAGCAAAAGCAGAGCCCATAATGCCATCCCCTTTAGAATATATCACACTTACAGGCTGGCAGGCTACAACACAAGTGGAGACAAGAGACCTGAGTTGTTCTAATGCTCTTCTCCACAGCAAGTAACAACATGCACTGCCTTCCTATCTATGAGCTGGCCTGTATATACATGCCTTGAAATGCATGTTAGACATATAGACAATTGATAAATGCTACTATATTATTACTTCATACTTTCACCCCCTGTTGCTAGTAAACAATTCCACATAAAGAGAGGTTAATTTAAAAAAAAATCCCATCTTAACCAAATGAACATTAAGTAATGAGAAAAGAAATGTGCAAAGRTAGAGCTCTCTGGGTCATAGATACTCCCAAAGTCACTCTTGCAGGAAACACAATGAAGACATACTCATTTTAGGGCAAAACCACAACTAGATAGTCAAGAMCTGAATAAATCTTCAGGTATAACTTATTCAAAAGAACTAATGTCATACCGATAGCCCCTCAGGGAGTGTGTATTTATTATTAGTATCTTGTTCAGTTTCTGTTCCATCCCTGTTCTTCTCGGAATACACAGATGTGAAGAGGCGAGGCTGGAATAAATCCAGCTGTTGCAATTTCTCTGGGTCCTGGGTCAGTGTGGCTGAAAACAGCAGTTTCTGTAAGGGGATCTGAGGAGAGCAGCAGCTGAAAGAAACAGCACATGGAAACTGGGCTTTGGGGATTAGGCAAAGGAATTCCACAAGTGCCTTCAGATGACATGAAGGATGCAATGAATGTTCTTTGATGCTCTTTTCCTGCCCTGGGCCTTTCTTACAGATTGTTTTCCACCCTTGTTTTATGATGGTCTTCACAGACAGAACTAACCAGCATTCTCAATGAAGTGCACAACCCCAATCCATTAGTCCTGTACAAGTCCCTGCACCCTGGTTACTCATGTCCTCACTCTGGTCACGCCCWTCCTTGGCCACTCATCTCAGTTTCTGACACATCTCTACCACTGCTGTATAAAAACAGCAGCTGCAGATAGTTAATTGCAAGAGTTTTCCACCAAATCCATTACTCAGCTCTGCCAGAGGGCATTAGTTACTGTGCAAATGGATCACAGATCTGCAATATTTGTGTATTTTTTGGATGCTCCTTTAGTCTAAATAAAGAAAGCTTGGAAAATACAATACTTAGTCTGAAAGACATCCTCTGGAATCAGTTGTTCACTGCCTTACTTTGGGAGATGCTTTTCAGACCAATCAAGCTTTGAGAGTCTGTGTGGGARGGTATTGTGGAGCAGAGCAGTGACATCCAGGTGCTGCTGTCCTTACATCAGTTCAAAGAAATATATTATGCAACTTACCTGGCTGCTGTTAGAGGCCCTGGCTTGGTCCTCTGAAAAAGCATGTTGGAGCCAGAGCCATYTTCTACTTGGAATGCAGCTTTGACAATTTGGTTCAGACAGTTCTGGTGCATGTCATCGATCATACGATCAGCTTCATCTATGATCTGAATTCACAAGGATGAAAACCATCACTTGTTAAATACTGGGAGCTTTTATTTTCCTTTGTATCTGTAACCAAGAATGTGAGATAATGGAAGCTTCTAGTCAACAGAATTGCTTTCTTTGCCCATCCTTACTCCAACTTTGCAAGAGCCTAAGAGATAAGGGGAAGTGGGTGGATGCTTGGGTGTCACRAGTTGGAATAAGACATCTCATCTTGTGATGCTGCCTCCACAATCTGGAGCRTAGACAGGCCCACACAACAGTTCCAACAGAGATGTATTTATGCTCCCCACAAGAAGAAAGCAGGAATTACTGCTGTAGCAGACACTGCCTCAGATGGGAGACCTGYGGAGGTGACTCACCAGGAAGCGAAGCTGCGTCAGGCTGAAGCCTGGGGTCTGGTTAATGTGATCCGTGAGCCTCCCCGGAGTGGCCACAACAATGTCAGCCAGGCTGCAGTAGCCTGTCACTCTGAAAGGACAAGCAGCCCATCAGTCTCCTTCTTTACCATAAAGCCTGTAGCAGAGAYCTTAAGGAGCACACCTTAAGGTTCTCCTACCCCTCAATTAACTGAGAAACAATAAAATTCCCATATGGATTTAACACTGGAGAGTGTGCAGAGGCAGTACTGGACACCAAACCCCAGCCTCTGCTGTACTGCCTCATTTTAAACAGAAAATTACATTCTTCATTGCTCTTAAAAAAAGGTTAATTGCAGCAAAATCCCACAGTCATCTGTACCTGTGGGCACAAGGTAAACATTCACATTCTGARTATTTGCTGGTGAAGAACCCCAAAAATCCAGTAAAACATTACAATCACAAAAAAGGGTAGTAACAGGCACTGTGATAAAGACAGAACCACCAGCGTCCAGCACATAAATCCATTATCCAAAAGCACAATAGCATGATAGTTGCTGCAATAGACCATATTTTGACCCCTGCTTAATGAGATTAATTAGCTTGCAATCTGTAKAAACCTTATCAAAATACTTTTAACCTACTTTTTCTGGACAAGCATCTCCTGCTCCTTTGCAAAAGAYTTCTGGCCAGTAATCAAAGCGACCTTCAGACCTGTCCCGTCAGTGTAAACGTTGAACACTTTACTCACCTGCAAAGAGATGGGCTTTGTCAGCTGCCACAGAATCAGCTGCAGCTAAAACTTTCTGGTTTTTTACTTCAGCCTGCTCCACAGAACAGCCAAAGGACTGGCTGCACCAGCCTGTGCCTCAGCCCAGCTCTGCTCAGAGATGGTGAAGAGCCACATACCTGTTGTGCCAGCTCTTTGGTGGGCAGAACAACCAGAGCTCGTACATGGCAAACCACTCGATCTAACAGAACCTGCCAAAACAAAGGCCAAATGAGTCCCTGCAAGCAGGAGAATGGTGCTCTTTTACCTAACTCAGCGAGAAGAGATGGGTTTGACACATTCTCACAGTTTTATGTTTCCATTTTTCTCCCTCCACCCTCCCAACTCCTCATGCTGTGCCTGCTGTCTGAGAAAAGGAGTGGGATGCTGACAAGAAGCTCCCTCAGGCARCTCTGAGCTGAAAATCTGCTGCCTTATGTCCACAAATTCCTTGGGGTTTTGACCTAGTTTTAAGTTCAGGTTTTGCTTGAACWAAAGCACCSCAGCAGTTCCCCTAGACAGATCCCTGGGGGTTAACTCACCTGTACAATGGGGATGACAAAGGCCAGGGTTTTGCCACTGCCTGTGGGTGCAGAGACACAGATGTCCTTGGGGCGGTATCCTCCMGGTCCCATCAGATACCCATTGCAGGCACTCTGGAGAATGGCAGGAATCACCTCTGCCTGAACTGAGCAAAACCAGMAATAAACACAAGCTATTTGGTTAATGAACTCACTGATACCCTGAAAATGTTATAGAAAATCAACTTTTAAATGAGAAAATGCATGTCTGCTTCCCAGCATAATCCTCTGACACAGCCCAGCCTCCAGGCTCAGCTGTCCTTTCTACTGAAGTGCTGGTGTTCATTGCACTTGTTKGCAAAACTGGCCAAATAATGGAAAACAAATAGATTTATTTTTGTTTGGGTGTTTTTTCTGGTGCTTTAATGAGCTGAATGAGTTCCCAGAAAGCTCTGCTCAGCAGCAGAGATGGTGGAGAGTAAGGAGCTAAAACACGTGCTTCCTCCTTGGCATAAGGAGGAAAAATGTGAGGACACGCTCTTTGGGCAGATCTGAGCCATTACTTTGAGCTGTATTTATCAGACTTTCATTCAGCCTAGACAAAGCTTTGACAAAGAAGGGTTAAATCTGGTAGCACCACTTTCACACATTAAATTTTGTCCAAATTTTACTTCACTGACTACATAAAATATACAGCACCAGGAACTCTCAGGTCTCTTTAGAAAGAAACAAAAGCACTACCAAAGTACCTGGAAAGAAGGACTCTATTCCATTAATTTGCAGCTTTTTCAAGAGCCGGGGATGGATTCCTGGCACATCTGTGATTGGACAGAGATTATCTTTGATGCGTTTCTGCACTCGTTTGGGTTGAGCAAGCCACTGTGGTAAGAAGGGCTGAACCTGAGGTGTGGGAAAGGAGAATGTGGCAATGCCATATGTAAAATAAACTTGTAAGAAGAATGTTTTATCCTAATCATCATCAAAATTCCATCAAGCTGGTTACCTTCTGCACAGGCTTTGCATCGAAGTCTCCAAGAATCATCACATTGGAAGGTGGACAATTTGCCTCTTCCCCTGAGGCTGCTAAGGGCAGTTCCTCCTTTGTACTTTGATTTCCTTTTTCTGTGTTCTCTTTCTTCTCTGTTTCATCTCCTTCTGTTTTCTCATCTTTTTTCTTCTTTTTGTTAGATTTCTCTTTAAAGTTGTTTCTGCTTTCCTGTTGGTTGATGTCTTCTTCAGAATCTGAAATTTGGACAATAGCAATACAAAGCTAAAGCTCAGACCATGGCAGAAAAAGGATGCAGGCAACATTACAACACAGGACTTAAGCAAAAACTTGCAAGCTCCTCATTTTTCCTAAATCCAAGGGCAAAAGTCAAACATTTCTTTGTTTGTATGGAGGCAACAAGACTGAGGTGATGTGGCACGTTTCCCTCCTCCCCTTACACCAAAGTGATCCTCAAAGTTTGCAATACAGGGCTTTGCCCTAAAAAAAAAACAACTTAGGAACATATTAATATAAGAAGATGAACATATTAACATATTATTAACATATTAAGAAGATGAAACAAAATCAGCTAAACTGAGTAAGGTACTCAAAGAGCAACCTGTGTTCACTTTTCTGTGGAAACTGTCAACCACCATGAACTGAAATCCTACTGCCTCAGTTTATCCTTACCTGCTTCAGTCCTCTCTCGCTGCACTTTCGATTTTCTTCTATTTTGTTTCTTCTTCTTTGTGGGGCTGCTGCCATCTACTGCCTCCTCAGTAGCTGCCCTTTCTTCCGAAGAGCTGCGGGGCTGATGCTTTAAGGTCTTTAGCTTCTTCTGTCTTTGCGCACTGGGCTGCTCTTCAGATTCCCTCTTCCTCTTYCCTTTTCGTTCGCCGGGCTCACCCCCGGGGCTCAGCCCAGCACTCTCTGGGTCGTGGCTTCCCTGGGGCTGCGCCTCTCGCTGCTTCTTCAGCTGCCGGGCCCTCGCCTGCTGCTGCAGCCGCTCGAGCAGTATCCGCGCCCGATCCTCCGCCTCAGCCCCCTCCTCTCGCTCGTCCTCCCCGCCGTACCTGGAACAGCCCAGACAAACAAACCTCCTCAGCACCCGGACCGCCGGCCACACACCCGAGCGCGGGGTGGAGGCAGCGCCCGGCGCGGGGTCAGGGTGAGGGTCAGGGTGGGGATCAGGGTGGGGGTCAGGGTGAGGGCAGGGACTGGAGCCGGGAGCGGGACGGGGAGCGGGAGAGCGGCCGGGCCCGGTACCTGTTGATGCAGAACAGCGCCATGGCCACGCCGCGCGCCCGGGCGCACCCAGATGACGTCACGGGCCCCGCGCGCTCCAGAAGGCGCGGGGAGGGCGCGCGCCCCCTGGCGGCGGGGGGTGGAGACACCGTGAGGGGAGGGCGGGAAAGCGCTGAGGGGAGGGGAGGGAACGCCCAGCGCAGGGCAGCCTCAGAGCGGGACTAGAGGGAAGGAACACAGCGCCATCGCTGGAAAGGCTGGCACAACACAGCATCAGTGCGGGACAGAGCACAGCACGAGTGGGACAGGCTGCCAGAGCGCACTGGAGCTTCCCACAGCACTGCAGGTCCCTGCCGAGCTTCCTGAGGGCCATCCCTGCTGCTTGGAGCAGGCGGTGAAAGCAGTGTGGATAACAGCATTTCAGCTCAGCGAGAAAAAGCACTCCTTCCTTGCTTGTTTGGCCCCACAGAGGTGGCACATCACCARAGGAAAGCTGCCCTGAAGCAGCAGGTACAGGACTGGTTCAAGGAGTGATTCCACTATGGCAATGGCAGACAGTCCAAAACCAAACCTCAGAGCAACAAGCAGCCCTGAATACCTACAGCYTCTGGGACACAGCAAGGTAAAAATCACTGGAGTGTTGTCAGGAACCAGCCCCAGAMACCACCACCATAGTGTGAAATCCTGTATCTAAGAAACACGGGCAAACTCAAAACATTCCTTTTGTTTGCTTTAGGATCAGAGTGAAACAGACATGTTAGCAATTGCCCAATTCCATCCCCAACCTGCCAAAGCCTACACCACACAGTTTACTTCTAAATCTTTATTTGTTTTCTACACAGAGAAAACAGAGGAATGTTGAAGCAGCAATATTTAAACACACTAGCAAGGAGCCATCAATCTGTGAGAGTGCACAAAGTGCAACACGGGGCCATTTGTGCCGTGGTCTCTGCTACAGGGCAGGGTGAGGGGGGTCCAGGAACAGCCTCTTCAGACAGATGGGAGAGCTCTATGCAAAGGTAGAGCCATTCCAGCCCACGTTGGCAGCGTTCATGTCGAAGTAGTTGATGTAAACCCTGCAGAAGAGGTACAGGAGAAAACATAAATGAGTTAATAAAGTCATTGTTGTAAGTCATGAGTGAAACAGGACAACAAAACAGGGCACAGTGCTTCTCTTTCTTCTGCTTGAAAAAATATCAAGCTTCATCTTTACCAAAAATATGGTGGAGCCTCCAGTCAATATTTCTCTTTTTTTTTTTTTTAATACAAATTCTTCTGCAGGCAGGGATTGTCCAGATACCAGACAGCTTTTGTTTAGCAGCCTGTCAAGAATTTCCGGAGATCAACCCCTTTTGTTTCTGAGTCCCTCACATGTGTCACACAGACTGGCAGCCCTGCAGARTTAATCAGGCCCTCAGGGCTGGCTCTGCACATCTCCCTTCCAACCCTCATGGCAGCAGGCTCTTCCCATCCTTCCTGGCTGCACATAGAGCTCCTCCTGAGGTTCCACAGCCTGCAAGGGAGCCGTTCACAGCTTGCTGGCTCCTGCTTTAGTCTCTCACCTCCAGCCTGTTACTGCACCTCCCTTGTGCTTCCAGCCTTGCTTCACCAGAGGTCAAAAGATCACACCTCACAGACAAAAGACACACTGGGCAACGTGTCAGTGGTCTGGTATTTTTCACTACTCTCAGAGCAGAAAGCCATTGAACAGAGGGCTCTCCATAGAGAGAGGCAGGCACCAAACTCTTAAGCAGATGTGAAAGTGCTGCGAGCAATCAGTTGGTATTTTCCAAAACACATTGACTTTTCCCTGGCTTTTTGTATTTTAAAATAAACTTCTCAAAGCAGTTTCAGAAAGTCAGATAAATATGGTTAAACTGTGTCCCAGTCATACCTGTCTGCAGATACATGCAAGTGCTTCGAGATCAGATCACACAGCATCTTGGTGTAAGTCTTGTTCTGCTGCCCTCCTATTTTGCCGATGCTGTAGAGGCTGCAGAGTGCGCAGGGATCAGTGGATCCCCCAAAGGACATCATCTGGTCAGGTATGATGTGCACAGCTATGTACTGCGGGAGGAAAACACTCAGTTACAAGCTATCTGATCTGCCCTCTGCTCAAACTTGCTCTAGGTACCAATTCTAAACAGAGCAGTTGTTTTGAGGTCAGGCAGCTCTTTAGTGCTGCCTTCTGCGCACTGCCTAGGCCCAGGCGAGGCTCAGGCCCTGCAGCTCCCATGGGGGACACAGGCTGAGGGTTGCAGGAGCCCTCGGCCCGGCTCTCAGCTTTAGGAACACGGTTATATCTTCACAAAGCCGCCGGCCAGACGGGCACTCCTGCCCGCCAAAGCCCCGCCGCCGCACGGGGCGGAGCGAGATAAAGGCCCGAAAACGGTGCGTGCCAAAGCTCACATCCCCAAATCACGGACCGGGATGCCGGGCCTGCCGGAGAGCCTGAGCAATTCGGCCTTATCGGGCTCTGGCTCCTGGGGCTGCTGCGGTCCGGCCCAACTGGGGCTGTGTGTTGGATGGCTGAACCGCCGGGAGCGGCTCGGAGCGCTCGGTGTATCCGAGCCCCTGCCCGGGTGAATCCGTGCCACTGCGCAGCTCCGCTGCTCGAATCGCCACCGCCAGCACAGGCGCAGCACATCCCCGGCTACGTGAGCGCCGCGCTCTGCAGGCCCGGCTGCTGCTCCAAGCAGGGGCCGCGCAGTGAGAGACTCAGTGCCGCGGGGTGGAACGAGCACAAGCTCCTTCTTCCAGAGCAGCGGGGCCGCAGCCCTGTTGTGCCACAGCCGCTCCCCAAGGGGGCCGCAGCCCGCCCGTCCCAGGGGGCGAGAGAGCGGAGATGCCCGGGGCCGCCCCACCGGCGCCTCCCCTCCCGCCGGGCCCGCCGAGCCTCCGCCGCGCACGTGTTCGCCCCGCTCCCGGCGCGGGATGGCCCCGCCGCCCGCCCTCACCTGCGCGGGCTTGCCAGTGGCCTTGGCCAGCTGCTGGGTGAGGTCGCCCAACAGGTTGTCGGGCACGGCGTCCTTGCAGACATTGGTGTAGATAGCGAACATGGGCATGGTGGCGGCAGGGGGGTGGCGGGACCGGCGAYGTAAACGTAACCGAGCAGCAGGACCAGCACACTGGAGCGCGGAGGCGTCGGCGGCGCTTTTAGTGCGCGGGGCCGCACCGGACGTAAAACGGCCCCGCCCGGCAGGGAGGGGAGAGAGCGGAGCGGGGCGGGGCGGGGAGACACACGCACACACACGCCAGCTCACCGGTCTGCCGCTCCCGCTGTGGCGTGCAGACACCTCCCGCGATAGGCTCTCGGCCAGAGCTTTTCCCCGCTTCGCCGTTATTCCTTGGCTTTTTTTGCTGTCGCTGAACATTTTTTGAGGGTTTGTTGCAGGCTCCATCCTGGAACAGAGTCYGGGCGCGCTGGGCAGCTCATACATAACCTGRTMTCAGCGCATGTGATACTACCGCTGYAGCACATCCCCTGGCTTCTGCAGGATCCGGGCCAGAGAGGGATATAGGCCCTAGCTTGGCAGTTGTAAAAAGGGATACTTGTCCTCTCTCCGGGAATTTTTTTCTTTTGCAAAATCAAGTAACATTAGTACTGATTTTGCTTTAATTGTGTGCACAGCTTTAGCTCGGTGTAAGCAGAAACGTCTGCCTTGCTGGCATATTTAATCTCAAATGTATTTCARATGACCTATTACTCCTTAGCGTTCCCATTTTCACAGCATGTTTTTTTTTCTGCTGGAATAAGGCAGAAGTGWTTTTTGATTTGTTTAGGAATAGACTGGTGCATGTCTATTCGGAGGTGAGAGGCAGCAGAGCCGAGCCGTGTGCTGGGCTGTGTGATGTGATGCACGTAGCCTGCCAGGCACGGCTCCCCACCCTGACTCTTGCCTGCCCCGACGGCGGCAGCGCTGCTCTGCTGCACCAAATGACTCACAGGAAGGCTAAAGAGGATCAGGCCCGGAGCCCTCTCCACCCACATATGTCGCACCCAGGAATCAGCACTGCTGCTGCTAGAAAGGTTGACCATACAGACATGTTACATGATACATACATGTTACACATGTGAACACTCACAGCCCTGAATGATAAGCGATGGTGTTATATGGGAATGATTGGGTGTGACACAGGCTATAATGCTGAGAACTGGAGCACTTCCTTTTTTAGTGATTAGCAGTCATTAAGAACAGCAACTAAGAACCGATTAAGTTTCCTCCCTTTCATATCCTCATCTCACTGCCATTGCATAGTCCCACTTATTCCTCTCATGTGCCTGCCTCCCAGGTTTGTTGTATGGAGGTAGGGTGGGAATTCTACCTATGCAGGGAGAAAAACTTGAGAGCAGCTTCACCACTGCATGCTTGCTCTATGGCCTGCCAGGCCCACAGTGGCAGCCTCTGGCTGTGCGGCCACACAATGGAGAGGCATTTGCAATTTCATTCTCTTTTGCCTTCCTGACTAAGAAAGAGGCTTTCACCAAAGCAGCTTCCATTTGTTATCTCAACAAAGCATTTTTGTAGGTTGAAGTACAGGTCTGTATTTAAAGTCTGTGGCTGCAAAGCAAAGCTGTGGTAGGGACAAAATGGGATGTTCACAATAGAATTCAGAGCAGGGATGTGAAAGGYTTGCTCTTCCAGAAAAAAGTCACAGTACACTTAACTATAGAATTTCAGGAAACRTCTCTACTCAGTCTTTTATTTTACTTTGGAAGCACATGATCTTATCTGACCAAGGGCTTAAATGATGAATATTTGTATGCAAATCTTCCTTTCATAATTAATTCACCACTTYAGTCCCTAGTAATGGCTTACTGTGGCTTGCTGTGCCTCTGCCTCATTCTGAGCTGTGCTCTAATCTTCACTGTCACTACAAATTGTTCAGTGGATGAAAAGGGGAGGGCACAACAGCGAACAGTGGTTTTTTCCACTCACTCCCTCTGCATATGCTGAGYCCTGGGAGACTCACAGCACAAGTTTTTCTGCTAATCAGCTAGATATTCCTGTAGTGTTAGGCCTAAAGAGGATCTGGACTGCAATCCATCCCTTTTAAATAAGAGGCAATAATGT